TTTACTTAAACTCTTAGCCCATTGCCTTTTACCTGGCTTTCATTTCAGTTAACATCACTTAAATTAATCAAATCTAATTTCTCATTACTAGAACACTACTCAGTATCAGAGATTTTTGTCATTCTTCACACACAGAAAAGTAAGACTTGCTGGGGCACCTGGGTAGCTCAGTGGGTTAAGCCTCTGCCTTTGGCTCAGGTCATGATCTCAGGGTCCTGGGATGGAGCCCCGCATCAGGCTCTCTGCTCAGCAGGGAGCCTGCTTCTCCCAACCCTCCATCCCCCCCAACCCAGCTGTGCCTGCTGCTCTGCCTCCTTGTGATCTCTCTCTCTCTGTCAAATAAATAAATAAAATCTTTAAGGAAAAAAAGAAAGAAAAGTAAGACTTGTTTACACAAAATACAAGTAATCCTTTTAGCAATGATAGAGATTTTCACTTAAATATGAATGAATATATTCTTACGTAAAGTGAAGTGAGTCCTTTAAAATCATTTTCTTTGATTTCCTTAATTTTATTGTTTTGAAGGTCAATCATTTGAGTATCAAATGGAATGTTGCTTGGAACGGAGGACAAACCTGAGAAATAAACGAACATGTTACACATACATGATAAGCTAAAGAAGAGTTTTTGGTTTTTTTTTTTTTAAAGAAGAGTTTTCTAATTTGATGGAAATGTACATCTTTTAAAATCCATGGTTACCACTGAGAAACAGCAAAAACATTGCTCTTTGGAAAGACCTGCAGACCTTTTCAAGTAACTTAGGTATTTTTGCAAGGTGCCTAGCTGGGTCTAGCTGTCACTGCTCATCTGCACAAGGTGACAGATGAGGAGGTAAATGAGGGTGTGCCAGTATGACTGCTGGGAGGTGACTGCAGCTGAGCTGCACCTGAAGCCGGCGCTGAGGAGCAGTGACATTCTCTGCCATTTCTCAGGCTCTTGTAGGGCTGAATTGGAACCTGTAGGTTCTGATCATTTTAAGAAGCCTCAACATGTAGAAAATTTAGAAATTTTCACATGTAGAAAATTTAGAAAATAAATTATATTATTTTCATGTACATTCTTTAAAATGTTACTACGTATTTCCTTTAATAATGAATTCCTCTACTCAGTTGTCTGTTAAATGTGAGTTACAGAAACACTCATCCATTGCTCCCTGTTGATGTCTGGGTGTGCAGTAACCTTTGCTAACACCCTCCCCTCCTCAGCACTGGGTCTCTTCCAGCCATTGCTTTGACTCCCCCCCCCCCCCCCCCCCCCCCCCCCCCCCCCGCCAGTCAGTTTGCACTCCTCCTCGCAGGTTTGATGGTAGCTGTCTGTCTGTTGTGTGAGGTTAAGGGACAGCTGCATGGCGCTCTCAGTGTATGTAGGTACTCAGCTCATGTTAAATTACTTAAAGACTTAATGGTATTTTCCCCTCTTAAATTAAAAAAAACAAAGAAGAGCGGAAATTACCAAGAGCTGTACGTGGTGCGTTTCTTCCTTACTTTTCTTGCTTTCCCTAGATGGCCGAACATACCACCATGCCTGTCGTCAGGCCGTACAGTAGTTATGCTTAACGAACATGGGCCTTCTTGTTTTTCTCCAACATTTGTTATTGAAATGTTCAAACGTACAGAAAAGTTGAAAATTTTACAGTGAAAACCCATAGTCGCTTTCTACCATCAATATTTTACTATATTTACAATTCATCCGTCAACTCATCTTTTTTTATGCATTTTACAGGGAGTTTCAGATGTTAGTATGCTTTGGGGGGGCATCCTTCCTCCTAGGGAGCAGAAGTATATTTAATAGCCCCACTGGAGAGCTCAGTATCAAAATACTGGGAATGTCAGCACTTCACCCTGTAGCTCTGAGTACTTTTCCCTCCATAGTTTACAGCGATGACTCACTCTTTTTAGAAGTTCGACCATAGATAGTAAAAGGGAAAGGGAGTCACTTGGCAGGTTAGCAAGGTATCCGTTTTGACAGGAGACGATTTTGGTCTTAGGAAATGAAGTGGAAGGTCTTGGAGGAAGTGGGCGGCTCTGCAGAAAGCACTAGGTGGCTTAGACTGGGACTGACCTTGCTCATCCCACCCGTGATGAAACTGGAAGCTCTGGAAAGAAATTAATTTTCTGAGGGAGGAAGAGTGACAGAGCTACAGACCCTTTTCATTGTCTTGGTCACGTAGAAGAGGTGATGTATGTACAGCATGACACGTGTGTGCCACACCTTGGCTTCCCACAGTGGGGCACATCTGAGCCTTCCCCTCTTCTGGAGATGGGCAGGTACAGTGAACTCTGGTGTGCATTTCTCATCTTACCCTCTCCCTGAGTGGGGTATGAGTGTACCCCTCTATTCAAGAACATCTTCATTAGAAATATTTGAAAAAAATACTCAGCAGAGAATTATGCATTTTAAGACTTTAGAAGGTGATTTAGTGCAGTCAGTTCTTTTCTAGACAGTTCTAAACCTAAATCATTCAAAACGAAGAGCATTGACTTTAAAATGTCTAGATTAGAGATTTCACAAACTCTATATAACCTGTTTATTGCTGTAGATGGGCAATTTCTCTTATCCTTATAGAATGTTACTAGAAGGCACACTGTCAGACTGCTGACATCCTGAAATGAACCATAGTGCTGTCCATTCTCTCTGAAGGAAATTAAAATGAACGATTTTCATTCAAATTTGAGAAGAGAAGGAAATGTTCTATATATGAAATTCCCATTGCTTTCCTTTGGTTGTCTGGGTTTTTAAGATAAGTTTCAATGTACTTTGGGTTTGTTACATTTTCAAAGAACTTAAATGAAAAATTGCTTTACAATTAGCTGATTTTTGAAATTTCAGTGAGGACTCTTACTATCCTTTCAATTTTATCAGAATGACATTTTCACCAAAATAAGCTGACATTTGTTCTTACCTAGATCGGAACAGTGTACAACTCTCGAGTAGCACTGGCATCCAAATGGACATGTTGGGAACAGATCGAAAGGGAAAAAGGGGTTAATTGGCTCTCTTGTTGGAAAAAGAGAGTTGTCATCATCAGGGTCACCACCCACTTCATCTTCCATGTCCTTCAGCATCATGTTCTTCAGCGTCACGTATGATGGGCGAGATAAGGGCTTAGCAGAGCATAAAGCCAAGAGCGCTAGGAGCACACACTCCTTCATGTCGTGTCGTGTAGAGGACCAACCTAGAACTAAGGAGACACTAAGATTGAGTTAAACAAAATCAGAGCTAGTAAGAACTCAACAACAATCAGAGCTATTCTGACCCATTGCTAGGGTTATTTATAAAAAAAAAAAAATTTTTTTTTTTAAAGATTTTATTTACCTATTTGACAGACAGAGATCACAAGTAGGCAGAGAGGCAGGCAGAGAGAGAGGAGGAAGCAGGCTCTCTGCAGAACAGAGAGCCTGATGCAGGGCTCGATCCCAGGACCCCAAGATCACGATCTGAGCCGAAGGCAGAGGCTTTAACCCACTGAGCCACCCAGGTGCCCCTAAAAAAATTTTTTTTGTAAAAAATTTTTGGAAAGCAGTTTGGCAATATGTATTGGAAGTTTTAAAAATATCTTTTTCATCCACTAATTCTTTTTGTAATCTAGTCCCAGGAAATGATTCTAATGTGCATAAAGATGTCCACGACAGAATTATAGATAATAGCAAAAAGTTAAAGATAACTAATGCTTTAAGTGAAATAGTAAAATAAAATAGGGTGTATGTATTCCATAAAATACTTTTAAACTTAAAAAATATTTACAGAGTTTACAAATATTGGGATCCCTATGTGGCTCATTTGGTTAAGCATCTGCCTTTGGCTCAAGTCATGATCACAGGGTTCTGGGATCAAGTCCTGCATGAGGCTCGCTGCTCTGTGGGGAGTCTGCTTTTCCCTCTTCCTCTGGCCCCCTGCTTGCACTCTCTCACTCTTTCTTTCTCTCTCTCAAATAAATAAATCTTTCAAAAATTAAAAAAAATTAAACATGTAAAACACTGTATTTTTGGAATTACAGAAAGCAAATATTAAAAATCTATATGTAAAATATCCTTACAAACACTCAAAAACTTGGCACAAATATAGCTAATTCATAATCCTGGGTAGTAGAACCATGAATGACATGTATTTTCTTTTTCTTTTTTTTTTTTTTTTTTAACTTTTATAATGGCCAGTCAGTACTACTGTTCTACTTAGGAAACTAATGATGCTTTTTTTTTTTTTTTTTTTTTTAGATTTTATTTATTTGACAGAGATACCGTGAGAGAGGGAACACAAGCAGGAGGAATGGAAGAGGAAGCAGGCTTCGTGCTGAGCAGGGAGCCAGATGCAGGGCTGGATCCCAGGACCCTGGGACCCTGACCTGAGTTGAAGGCAGATGCTTAATGACTGAGCCACCCAGGCGCCGCATAATGAGTGCTTTTAAAAACCAAAACAGGGGGTGCCTGGGTGGCTCAGTGGGTTAAAGACTCTGCTCTCTGCTCAGCGGGGAGCCTGCTTCCTCCTCTCTCTCTGTCTGCCTCTCTGCCTACCTGTGATCTCTCTCTGCCAAATTAATAAATAAAATCTTTAAAAAATAAAAATTAAAAAAATAAAAACTAAAACAGATTATCATACCAGACTCCCTCTTCCCCATATCCTTCCATTGCCTTAATACCTATGACCCTTTCAAAGTAAAACCCACATGTCCCCTTGGCCTCACATCTGGAGGTTGTAATAACCCCCCTCCCCACCACCAGCCTCACTTTCAGACTTGGTCACTTTTTCCGCAGTGTACTTGGATTTCCTCCTTTTAATCTGTTCCATTGTCTAATACCTGATCCAGAGCATCTGAGGACCAGACTTCTTATTCTTTTCATGTTCATCTTTCCGCTGAGTTCTGTTCGTTTGCTTTCTTTGAGGGGCGGAGTTGTTTTCAGTTGTATTTTTAAAGCCCACACAAAACTGGAACGAATGATCCAGAACCTTCTGAGCATAAATTTGTTGTCTGATGGCAGATTTTTCTGCAGGTGTGTCTTAACTTTCACTTGTGAAGCAAACTACATACAGTCTTTGTCATTTTCAAAAATTAAAAGCATTTTGAAATCATCTACAGCAGATTTATGCCAGTCTTCCCTTTGGGGTGTGCGGTTGGTGGCAAACAGATGCCCACTGGTAAGGCTGTGCTCTGGCCAGAGGGCACGCACACTCTCCCCAGATGTCCCTTAGCCAGATCCCCAGCAGTCCAGCTGGACTCCCTTGCTGGACCTGAGCATGACAGCGCCTTAGCCACACAGGCCATCCAGAGGCTGTCATAGTTGGTCCAGCCTCAGGAAGACCTTGCTCCCCAAATCCTTGAGCAGTGGTGCTAGCTCCTTACAGGTTCCCAGAACCCAGAATCAGCTTGAACCTCTCTCCATGGCATTGGTCTTTCTGGACTTGGCATCAGAAGTGAATTAAAGTACTCAATTATATATGTTATGCCTTTTAATCGCGAGGGGAAGGTGGGGGGGGGAATTCTATGATCAGTTATCCACCTGGTAATTAGCATTATTTAACTCTGAAATCCAAATGGCAATGCGAGCACTTTGTCAAGTGGGTGGCTGGACGTCCTCAGCTAGATACATGAGATTTCTCTGTGGTAACCCATGCTCAATTATGCCGAGATCAGGACATAGCTGAGAATGGCAAACACTTTTTTATTTTAATAATTGACTTCAGAACCAGCCTGGCCTCCTATCTCTTCCTCGCCTTATGGAAGCATCAATTCAGTTGATTCCAGACATGTCCCCCACGTTGACTGGGAGGAATGGGGGGCGCAGAGAGCTTCAGCGGCTTCCCCAAAGCCACATAACCAGAAGAGTTGACCCCAAGGTGGAGCTCACACTCCCAACCTGTTGTCTGCATTTTCTGCTGCTACCTATGTGGGAGCACGCTCTTGCATCCTGAACTCCAGTAGCTTCAGCCACACGCTCTGTCATCTTTTCTTCTCCAGCCAGTCCACACACTGCTGTTGGCAGCCGTCTACACAAGGAGGGGTGCATGCCCAGCCTGGGCTGGGAGGGCGGGAGGGGTCAGATTCCTATGGTGCAGAGACCCTGTGCTGGCCGCATGAGGCCCAGCAGTGTCTGTCGGCCGGCTCGGGGATGGGCAGGTTCCCTTTCTGTGTCTAGTCCCAGAGCCCAGGAACCCTGGCACGGGCACCTGTTAAGTTCAGCTGGGCTCTGTTTCCACTATCGCTTTGTCTCTGGCATGTTACTTCTTCCCAGCAGCCTGCCCAACAGGGATCCATTATGTTTCTTGACCTAAGGCATCTGTGTGATTCCTGGCTCCCTAGTACTTGGTTCCCAGCTTTGCATTGACCTTCCAGAACTCCCATTCCCTGGCTAATTCAGCCCTGAATGGTCCTTAGTCGCACCAAGGCTTGTCCCCGGTACCAGTTTATTCTTTACTGTTGCTCTGCAGCTCTGCCTTCTGTGGCCACAGCTGCCCCTAGCTCTGCCTTTGCTGGACGTTGCTGCAGTCTTCCAGTGGGCGTGTGTCAGAGCCCTGCTGTGTACCAGGCGCAGAGTTAGGATGCAGACTCTGTGACGCAGAGGCCCCTCTCTCCCCATCCTCTTCCCTCCCTCATTTCCCTCCTCAAAAAAATAAAACCACAGCTCCTGATCCGCTACTCTCAGCCAAGCAGGGGCTTGTTGTAAAAGCCAATGCTGGAATGTCAGGTGCATTCATGGAAAAACTGAACACATGCCTAAGTTAATAAACAGAGCTGAACTGCAAGGAGGCCGGGCTGACTGCGTGCACTGTGGCCAGCGCCTTGGAGGGATCTCCAGGTGTGTGGTCTCCAGACTCGCAGGGCAAAATTCTTCACCAGAGATCTGTTTATTCCTCACACTCTCCGTTTACTGTTGGAGACCAACAGATGTAAAGCTGTCTATAAAATATACATACACGAGAAAAGGTTGGAATAGAATACGCAAACCTAATCGAGAATAGGCTACTGAGTGAAGGACTATTTTCCTCTTTCTAGGGGCCTATTTTTTAAATTATTATGTTGGTTTTTAAATATTTTAGGTATCAGTCTGCTGACACAATTTGCTCTGGTCCTCTATATACTTCTGCCTTGTCTCACCACTTCTGTAGCATCAGACAGTCTGTACAATCAAAGGTTTCTCATCCACCCTTCCCTCAAGAGCCAGACTCAGTGCCCACCTGGGGAATCTTTGGGGGCTGTGGTTTCCTGAGGCCTGCCCCCAGTTGCCCTGGACCATGGGAGATGAGTTTAATCAGGAGTTATTACTGAATTGGTTGAGTTTCAGTATGTTCTTGTATATATACAAGCTATACAGGGCTTGTAGGTTCCCTGTCTAGACCAGAGAAATTTATGTAACAAGTACTATATCTGAAGTGATAGACATAAGAAAACCATAGAACCTTAACAAATCCACATAAAAAGAAGAACACGGTAGAGCTCCAAACACTTCTGGGCTTTCTCTGGCCTGGCAGTGGGGCTGGAAACTCGCCTTTGCTCCTTCTGCCCCAGGATGCAGGAGAGCCCTGGAGCCAGAAGGTGAGGATCAGGTGTGACTAGCCAAGACGGAACAGCGAGTGAGGGGGCCACAGGAGGCTGAGGGGGAGGGGCAAGCCAGGCATCAGAGCTGCAGACCAGCCCGCCTGCAGTGTCAAGAGACCCATCAGCCAGTGTGCCCCGCCCCCTGCCCTGGAGGAGGTGGGGGCTCTGGGGCTGGGGCAAGCCCGTGGTACCTGGGACACTTTCTGGTTGCTGGCTGATGGGGCAGCAACCCCTTGTTCATGCCTCCTTGGGCCCTTCCTCTGCAAATGAGGGAGGAGACCTGCGGAGTCAGGAAATGGCATGTAGGTGAAACTCTCTCCGGGTGCTGGAGCCTCCCCGGAACATACTGGGTCAATAGTGTGTCTATTCTCTGCTTGCATGACTCCAGCAAGTGCTCCTCGAGGGGCATCTGGTTCCCCTGTTGTCCATCTGTGCTGGATAGGAAATTCTTTATATGGAGACCCAAAGTGCCTTCTGGCATGTTCTTTCCGTGCTACTTCTGACTTCTGTTAGCTATAGAAGATTAATGTAATCTCTCTGCATTCTTATATATTCTGGCTCCTTAAAAACTGAAGTCAGGTGGGCCTTGATTCCATGAGTGATTCACCCTTTATACCCTTCATCTGAGGTGAGAAAGTACAAGTGATAGTAAGCCCCAACCGTGCCGTAACCTGGCTGACGAGTTTTTTATCAGTAGAAAATATTGGGGTGTCCAGGAGGGACCGCTATATAGCAGTGTTTTCCTGTTATTCAGAAAGAATTTAGAGTATTACTTCTCACTGAAAGTGATATGACTTTTAGTTTTCTTATTTTTAAATTTTTTAGTTTTAATATTTAGACTTAAGCTCTTATTTGATAAGTCTGGGTGGTAGAATGTGCTATTTTTGAAAACTTTAAAATAAAGTTTGTGTTTTGTTCTCAGGAAGACTCAGTATTTCCCCAGTTTAGACCAGTATTGCCAGAGTTTATTACTCATGGAAAGCTTTGGACTTTTTGGTTTCAAGTTTCCTTTAATCAGAATAATATCTGGAATATTATTTCAGTGCTACTGCTGTTATTAATAAACTGTGGCACGTTGGAGCCAGGAAGGGCCTCTGATACGTTGCTCCCACTGCTACTGCTGTCTTTGACAGCAGAGGGGCCAAGGCCAGCCTCCTCACTCCTGCATCGCCGCCCTCCCCACAGCCCCCACGAGGCCAGCCCCAATTCCACAGTGACTTCCAGACAGTAAGCAGACTCTCCTCAGAGAGGACGGGGCACGCGGTTTGGCCAGGTCCTCTGGACTGGAAATGGAGCTAAGAAGTGTCTCTCTGAATCTGCATAAACTCTTATTTTCCACTTAAATGTTCCACAAACTTAGAATGGAAAATTTGTCTAAGTGAAATGGTATTTCCTCTCAGACACTATTATTAGGAAAATAAGTCACTGTGCTTTTAAATCCCATGCTTAAAGGTCTGCCTGGTGACCCTTCCCCTTGGCTGACTTGTCCCTATCTGTTCCCAAGTGCTAGTAGTAGTTGTCAGTCGTAAATGTGACAGAAGGTGCTCGTGTACTCACAGAACATCTGAGCTGGATCCAGGCACAGTCGCGGCTCAGCTCTGTACTTGAGCAAGTAAGGAAAAGTTCAATGTCCAAACATGCACTTGGACACTTAGAGTGCCTTTTGGAAGGAAACTGATGCTTTTAAGACAGCACAGTCCTTAGAGAAATAATTCACTTTACCCTAGAATTATAAATCGCATCTGATAAAGAAGTTGTGGCTGCCTTTCCTCTTACACAAGTTTTTGTCCTTCATTCATTTTTCAGTACGTCTTAAAAAACAAAACACTTCTACCTCTTCATTCTCCACTGTCTGCTACAGTGCATTAAGACTTTTGCTTGTAAAGTTGATGTGTTTTGTCTCAAACCTCAGATCAGGTACCCAAATACTCTTTTGTAGTGGAGCAGCTGGTGGAAACAGAAGACTTCTTTCCACCACGCTGTGTTGCAAAATACCGAAAACAAATTAAAAACATCCAGATACTTTCCCATGTGTGTGGGCTTACGATTTCTTTGTATTTCCTTTTTTTTCTTTTTAAACAACACAGTGGTTCTTGGGGGATTGGAAAGGACAACACTGTATTCTTAGAGAGGGGTAGACCATCAGGTTTCACCCTTAGCATGTGGCCACGGCTTGTGGCTACCACATCTCTGAACACACTAGCAAGAAGGAATGCTGTGCTCTGTTTAGATTCTGAGGGAGTAGAATATCAACTACATTGTTTAATTTCTTTTCATCTAAGATTTAATTTAAAAATTTTCTTTGGGAGAAGATAAGGGAAATCTTTATTTTAAATTCTGACTGGAATTTTGTGAAAAGTTTCTGATCTTCCCTATTAGATATGGAGCTAGTTGAAGTATTGCTGATAACTGTTCTTTCTTGGAATTACATGCATCTCCATGTTAACTGTCCAGTGCTATCTTATTACATAAGA